GGCCCCTTTTGGCCAGTCTCGGGGGCGCTGGAGGCAGGACAGAGTGGCCTTACGTTTGGGGGGATTGGGGGCTTTGGAGGAGTCCAGGTGGCCCAGAGCTGCGGGATGGGGGCTGCAGCCTCAGGGCTGGGGGGCTTCTCGGGGACAGGCCCAGGCCCCCAGATGGAGCAATAGAGGGAGGCGCTGAGGAAGACAGCGGGGAAGGGGAGCACCTCCACCGAGCCCTTTATCCCTCCCAGCGGCCTTCACCCTTTCACTGCCAGGCCGACAGCGGGCTCTTCTCAAAGGAGCAGCTGCTAGACAGCTGGCAAAACAATGGAGACCCCGCTTCCCGGCCCCCTCTTCTTGGGACAGAAGATGGGGGCGGGAGGATAGTAGGCTTGGGGGATTAGATGGTGCAGGCGGTCCCCTGTGACTGGCTGCTCACCTCACCTTTCCCTGCAAGGGGTGGGGTGTGTGTGTGGGAAGGTCGGACAGCCTGCCCCAGGCCTCCGGGAGAGACCGCCCCGACGCCCCGCCCTGCTAACCTGTCATGCCAGTTGTTTCTCGCCAATGGAAAGGGAGGTGGTAGAGTCAGCTGCTCCCCCCACCTCGTGATAGGGGGCACAGGCAACTTGGTAGCAAGCCTAGTGAGGAGTGGGTCATGCTCCTGGCTGAGATAAGGCCTGCAGGGACACACCACACATTGGGGCTTTGTTGTGGGGGTGGAGGTGGGGTGTCACTTGGTTGCAAGGCACATGTATCCTGCTGATTAGTTGGTAAAAGTGCTGCCAGAATGAGCCAGAGATGGGGAGGAAGATAGTCTGTTTTTTAAGTGGTACTTATTTTGCCTGATCACTTGGCCAACTGCAAATGTATTTGGTGGAGGCCTCATAGTTGGTGTGTATGTGGAGAGGGCTGAAGGCTGTTTCCTGGAGGGACTCTTTTGACAAGGGCCTTCCAGTCCTCAGATGGTTCCCCAAAATGAGAATTGGGATTCTTCCCTCTTCACTTGCCAATGACTTGGGCTCCTTTGCATGTTTTCTCATGGTGTCCCTGGCATGTCTGTGGCAAAGGAGATCATGTAAATGCCCTTATGGGAGAGGGAACTGTGGCAAGCATATATGTATGTACTGTGACTGTATTGAAAGGTAAGGTAAGGTCATCCAGGCGAATAAGAACAAGATCACCTTAGCAGGATACTGAATCGAGAGGATATTGAATCAGGCTGGCTTTCCTTGTGCTTAAGGGATGTGGAGCCCTTTCTTGAGCAGGTTGGTGTCCTGTTGCCATAACAACAGGCATGGTCTAACATTCTCCACCCTTTCTGGTTCAGGGGCTACTTTCTATTTGGGGATTCTGAAAGTTACTCTCCTGAGGTCTCTGGCTTCCTGACAAGCCTTGCTGGCTCTTTGTCAAAGGCCTGCCACCTCCTCAGCTTCCCTTCTGTCCTTTTGTGATGAGGCTTTCCAGGAAACATCCTCCTGGTTGCTGGACATGACTTGGCTGGTTATATATAGCCTTGGGTGGAGGTACGCTTGTCCATTTGGGATTGAGGATATTTAAGTGGGGACTCAATTCCAGGGAGACAATGGCTTTGGGGTAAGCTGTTATGTTAAGGAGATTAGGGAATGAGAAGGATTGTGGCTAGGGGTAAATGGTGGGAGTGGGAGGGTCATAGGCTAGAGGTCACTTCCTTTAGGATCTTTGAACTTTGGACAGTTGATGACCAGGTGCCCAGCAGTTCTGAGTGTCTAGTTTGTTTACTCTCTCCAGACCTGGCTCAGGTGCCAGGGTGTATGCCTGAGGGCTTCCTCCCCTGCTCCAGACTCTTGTTAGAAATCATTACGTGTATTATGACCTTCCTGACTCCTACCTGCTCTCTGAGCATTCATGAGTAGTCTGGGCAACTAAGCTGTTTCCCAGAACCCCTTTCACTGGCCTTGCTTGAGGCTGCTCATTGAGGTGGGCATTCCTTTAGAGGTTGGGCTTGAAAACTCTGGGGTCCCTCAGAGGCAGGTACCTGAAGGTGGACTGGGAGGGGCAGAACTTGGGCTTAGGAACAGGGAGTTGTTGGGATTCTGGAAGCCTTGATCCTGACTTGGTGTGTCACATGTCTCCAATGCAGCTGTGGGGTGTTCTTCCTCCTTCAAACCAGAGAAGTCTGCTCCCAGTTAGTCGCCCTAGCCTTGAGTGAATGCCACAGACAGAAATCAAAGCATCCATGTGAACTGGGTCCTGTTGGTGGTCCTGGGCTGCAGACCTTGTCTCAGGCCTACCCTAGTTGTGGTGGGTGAAGCCAAGGGGCTGGGGCCAGGTTTAAAGATTTGAGGGGACTCACTGTGGGCTATGATTGACAGATTCCCATAGGACTCAGGATAGGGGTTTTTCAGGTCTGCTTTGGGCCAGGCCCTGCGTGCTCTAAGATCTCTCTGTAGTACCCCACTTTGATCACCATCCCCTCCACCCCAGCTTTACTGAGGTACCATTATCATTTTTTGAGGTAGTCTGAATTTGAGGGTAGGGTGGTGCCCAGGTAGGACTTAGTTGGTGGAGTGGGACTTAGACCTGGTTAGTTTTCACTTCTCCCATTCACCTTTAATTTCCCTGCCCTTTGAGGAGGTAGGAATTGTGTGGTTTGTAAATTATTCACATTTCCTTGACATTTCAAACTTGAGAGTCAGGCAGCAGTTCAAGTCTGATGATTTTAATAGGGCCAAGTCCCATTTTCTCTGCCAGATACTTCATCATCACTTGCAAGGGATTATTTTTATTTTTCTCTGGTATTCAAAAATATTGGATGATGGGTTCAAGGTCACACAGCACATGGAAGGCAGAGCAGGATGAGAACTTGCAGTTTGTAGTAGAGTGCAATACCTATGCAGCAAAGGCTTGGGGCCATGCCTGGTCTCACAGGCATGCCTACCCTTGGGAGAATCTGTATGGTTGGAATAGCGGAGTCTAGAGAGGAGATGCCACTTGCTCAAGGTCACACAGAAGGGGGCGTGTGGCAAGGGGAGCATAGCGGAACTGGTCTGCGGGCAGGCCCCGTTTTGGACGCGGGTTAGTACTTTCTCTCCTCGCACAGGTTCTGTCGGGGCTGGCACGTTGCTGCGTCCCAAGTGAGACCCTATCGCGGCAAAAGGCGCCACGGGGCTGCGGCTGCAGCTGCGGCTGCGCCGGCCAGGCCGAGGGAAAATGCTAAGAGCTGCCGGGCTCCCGGGCTTCCAGCGCTGGGGCGGGCGGGCCAGCTGATGTCATGCGAGAAGCGTGCATTCGGAGCAGGGTGCACACCTGGAGCCAGATAAGCTCCGTGTGACCTGGAGGTGAGTCACGCGGCGCTGCGGAGCTCAGCAGAACCGGCGGGATCAGCGCGGCGGCGGCGGCGACTGGCCGTTCTCGCTGGGGCCGCGCGGTGGGCCGGGCCAGGTGTTGCGCGACACCTCTGAGCCGGAGCTGCGATCTCCGGTGCGGGCTTGGGACAAGATAGGGGCCTTGGGCTGTAGGGAGCCGCCGCTCTAGGAGGTCAGAAGCCAAGGGAGAGAGGTCGGCTCTCCTGGGAAAGTATTTCCTTTGTATGTATTTATGAATGTGGTCTGCCGGTGGGAGGTGGGGAACTGACCTAAGTATTCACCCATAGCAGCCAAGTCTGGGTGCCCCTGTCTGCCCCTGTCCTGGGAAGCTAATGTTATAGTTTCCATTTCCTGGGGTTTCTGCTTTGCCAGCTGCTGGGTGACCCATTTAAATCTGTCCCTACTTAAAGCCATAAGATACCAGTAAAGTCTCTTTTAACCAGGTCCCCAAAGTCACTGAATTCAACTTTTAAGACAGGAAGGCAACTTTAATTGATCCTTGCAAACCCTGTTTACAACTTTAATGCGAATGGATTGCTTGCCACTCTATCAAAACTTCACTTTTTGTTTTGTTTTTTAAATCTTTAAAGTTAGGAAAGTAACATGGGGGGTGAGTAGTTGAATCATTAGGAAATGTATTCAGTGGAAAACTTAAGTGTGACTTTTCCCATTGCCACCTACTCCCCAGGGACAACCAGATACATTTTTTCCTGGGTGGAGGGGGATGAGGATGGATACTGGGGATTGAATCTAGGGGCTCTTTACCACTGAGATACATCTCCAGTCATTATTATTATTATTATTATTATCATCATCATCATCATCATCATCATCATCATTATTATTATTTTAAGACAAGGTCTCATTAAGTTGCTTAGGACCTTACTAAGTTGCTGAGGCTGGCCTTGAACTTGCCATCCTCCTGCCTCAGCCTCCTGAGCCACTGAGACTATTAGTGTGCATTACACTTGGCCCCAGACTAATTTTTAAAAGCTTTTTTTTTTGTGTGTGTGTGTGTGTATGTATGTGTGTGTAATATTTACCTATTTATTACTAAATACATTATTTTAAAATATTTAATGTAAGTATTCAACATCTTTTTTTGTAAGAAATAAAAATAAAAAGCATACAGAAAGAAGAAAAATCACACATAATCCCACACTCAGAGCCTCTAGGTTTAAATTTACACACATACACCCCCCTACCAGCTTAATATTCTCGTTTTAAAAGCTTAAAACCATATAGATGAAACACAAATCTGCTTTGACTATTCTAAAATCCCAATCTTTTTCCCAGAGCATATATTTTTCTATGACTATGTAAATATTGTATGTAATATACCTGTTTATTATTCATACACACATATATAGTTTAAAAAATTTTTTCTATCTTGCTTTCTGTCTATCTTGCTTTCCTCATTTAACAAGATAGTATAGAATTTTTCTAGGTCAGTATATACAAATCTACCTCACTCTTTTTAATAACTGCCTAGTTGTTTTTATAATTTAATTATTTCCATAGTGACTCATATTTATATGTATAGATTTGCAATTATAAACAATTCTGCAAAGATTAGCCTAGTTTATTGTGTGACTATATCTAAAGATGACCTATAGAGTTGTGGAATTGTCCAACAGTTTTGAGTGAACATAAATGTTTCCATAGGCATCACCAACTTACCCTCCTAAAAATTTATTCAAATGCCTGCTTTGGCAGCACGTACACTAACATTGGAAGAATATAGGTAATATTTGGCTGGCCCCTGTGCAAGGATTACACACAAATTCTTGAATCCCATATTTTATAGTATAGACCAACTGGCCTTTCTGCTGCAGTGATGTGTATATCACACCAGTTTGTACTCCTACCAACACATATGAGCGTTCCTGCTTCCCATCCCATAATGTTTTCCATCTTGATAGTTTTTATTGAACTGCTAGATGAAAAGCAGTATATAACTATGGTTGTTACTGAGGCTGAATACCTGTTCATATGTGTTGGCTATTTGTATTTCTGCTTCTATGAATTGGCTCTCTGTATCCTCCACAGTAGCTATAGGGAGCTGTGGACTCAAACATATGATCGAGTTTGTCCGAGTGCTCACTAGGTTGCCTTTACTTCTTTGGGCTTTATTTTCCACATAAAAGGAGCTGAACTTATTTTAGTCATATTTGTGCTGATAGTCACTTGTACACTCTCTTATCTTCTTCATCATCTCATTTAGGTTGGAAGAATGTACCACTCTTGAAAGCTTACATGGGCTAGGCATTGTACATGTCATGCTTAAATATGCCATACATATGTGTGTGTTTAAAATTTAATTACTGCTCCTTATGTGATAGATGCTATTATCTCTGTTTTATTTTATAGATAGTGAAACCAGGCATACAGTGGCCTGAAGTGACTTGCCCAGGGCTTCATAGGTATTAACTCAGATTTGTTTTCAGTTTTGTGAACTGACATCCAAAGCCTCTGAGCTCTTTCACTAGGCTTACTTACCTTTACATCCCTTGTATTTAGTAGCTTCTTGATAGATACATTTTTTAAAATTTCTTACATACATGACAATAGTGGAATGCATTACATTCATAATTATCCATTCACAGCATAATTTTTTCATAACTCTATATATAAAAAAGAGATATATACATTTAAAAATATTTATTTTTTAGATGTAGTTGGACACAATGCCTTTATTTATCTAACTCAGGGCCTTGCATGTGCTAGGCGAGTGCTCTACCACTGAGCTACAATCTCAGTCCCTAGACACATATTTTTTCTAATATTTTATCACAAAGATCTGCAAACATTTAGAAAAGTTAAAAGAATTTTACAGTCAACACCTGCCTACCTCATAAATTCAACAATTGGCATTTTCCCATCCTTGCTTACCATATTTTTATCCCTTGATTGATCTACCAAGCTATCTTAAATTTTTGACATATCTCAAAGTAAATTGCAGCCATTGGTATACTTTACTCCACATCTTTTAGCCTATGTATCATTACCTGGAGTTCAATATTTGTTTACATTTTTTTTCTTTTGAGTAAATACTTGTGTTCAATAAAATGCACAAATACACTATTTGATGACAGTTGACAAATATATAGATCTGTCATCTCAAGTCCCTATGAACATTCAGGACATGAACATCACTCTAGGAGTTCCCTTATGCCCTTTTTCATACATTTTCCCATTCCCCCAACCCCAGGATAATCATTGCTTTGATTTTTTTTAACTATAGGTTAATTTTGCCTGTATTAGAGCTTTATATAAATAGAATCATACCAATATGCATTGTCAACAGCTTCTTCCCCACTTGCTTCAGATAATGTTTTTGAGATTTGTCCCTGTTATTGTACTTATCAGCAGTTGTTTCCTTTTTGTTGCTAAGTAGCATTCCATTTTGCGTCAACATATAAACTATTTATCCATTTTTGTGGATAGACAGGTAGATGCACGTTTGAATTGAACAGTCCTTGCCTTCAAGATGCTCACAGTTTCAAAGTGATAAAGCAGCTGAGTTGACAGATTGTATTTTGTTTTGGAAATAGAAGGGTCAAGATAATTTAGGCAGATACCTGAATTTACATATGTACCTTTCCTCCACTTAAAGTCAGGAAAGGCTGGTGCTGGGGTAGTGGGTCAGTGGAGAGTGCTTGCCTAGCATGCATGAGGCACTGGGTTCCATTCTCTACACCGCACAAATAAATAAAATAAAGGTATTGTGCCCATCTACAACTTAAAAAAAAAAAAGTTAGGAAAAGCTTCCTGGAGTGAACTATTAAGTTTCCTTCACCTGTGTGAAGTGAGAAGGTAGGAGAGGAAGAAGAGGTGGATAGAAAATGTAGCCTGGAATGGGGATTGGGTAGATGTTGGTTTCAGAGCTGCTGAAGACCTTGGGCCCAAGGACAGGTGATGTTGACAAATTCAAGATCTACAAGAAGATGGTGGAGCCCAGCTCTCTAGTGAAATGAGGGCTGAGGAGCATGGGAACAGCAAATCTGATCTTGGGAGGGAAACCTGCAGGCAGTCAGGTAGCTCCAGATATGTGGCTCAGGAAAAAACAGTTCACATCCAGGCCTGGCAAAAAGGGGAATGGCAGTGTGGAAGAGGTGCCTTTGTGAGCTATGCAGGTAACAATGGCTGGATAGGGATGACATGTTTCAATCTCTGAAGCCCTGAGGGTTAGGATGACAGGGGTGACTTTGACAGAAAGTTAATAACTAACCTATGTCCACAAGGGACTTGGATAGTTGGAATTTTAGAGCTGGAAGAGGCCTAGATCAACTAGTTCAACCTTGAGCAAAGTGACAGGCCCAAAGTCCCCCCAACTGTGATTTCTTGGCAGATTCGGGCCTAGATATCAGATCTCCTCAAATTTCCAGCCAGCACCATTCCCTGTCCTGCTGCTATGACTGACGCTCTGTTTTTCCTGCCTGCTGCAATGACATGAGGGGCAAGTTTTTGCTGAGACAGGAATTTACATGAACTTTCTTCTAAGGGACTTTTCTAGCTTAAAGACTCTAGAATTCTGGGGGCTGTTTTCCGTTGAGAGTGCCCAGTTACTAACCTCCAGCCAAGAGCCAGAATTAGGTAAGGTTTGTAGAGTTATCAGGGGGCTTGTTGTGATAGAGTACTATAGGCAGATAGGTTCTTTGTGTTTGGGCTGAGGCTGAAATACTCTTGTTAGTCCACAAGGAATTTTTTTTCTTCCTTCATATCCCCCACAGGTACTCCTGGAGCCATCTTCTAGACCAGTCAAGATGGTGTGGGTAGTGACCTGCCAAAGATCCCTTGTCTTGGTATATGATAGGTCTATGCTACATTTCTATCAACATTCAGAAGAGACTCCTCGGTCAAAAGTAGAGCCCTGAAGGGTTTAGGGCTGGAGCTCAGCAGTAGCACCTGCCTGGCGTGTATGAGACACTGGGTTTGATTCTCAAAAAATAATATAATAATATAAATAAATAAAATAAAGGTCTACCAACAATTAAAAAAAAAAAAAAAAAAAGCAAATCCCTGAAGAAAGGATTCTGGCTGTCAGGTACTCCCTGGCTCCCACCAAGTCCAGACCCAGCTGGCCAATACTGCTCCTGGCTATATGCCTTTTGGACTTTAGATTTCCTGTCTTCCAAATCCCAGTGTTCACCGAGCATTTGGAACTAACAAGTCCAGAGGGAACTTTGTTTTACTAAGTTGAAACTGAGGTCAGCGAGAGAGAGAGAAGAGGCTCTTGCTATGCCCACAAGGAGCTAGTGACCTGGTCAGATTTCCTATCTCTTTGGACATGCTCTACAGCTAAAGATTTCTCCAGAATTGTACTGTCCAATCTAAGAGCTGCTAGCCCAAGGAAGCTGTTGAATACTTGAGATGTGGTTCGTCTGAATTGAAATATGCTTTAAGTGCAAAATACACAGTGAATTTCAAAGACTTAATATGGATAATAGAATTTAAAAAGCTGTCAATATTTTATATAACTTACATGTTGAGATGTCACTATTTTGGATATATTGTATTAAACAGAATGTATTATTAAAGTTAATTTAACTTTTTTTTAGTATACATAACTGGCCTTGCTATGTTACCCAGACTGGCCTTGAACTCACAATCTTCCTGCTTCAGCCTCCCAAGTAGCTAGAATTATAGTCATGTACCACCATGTCTGGATTTACTTGTTTATTTTTATCTTTTTAATGTGGCTACTAGGAGATTTTAAAATTATATATATTACTTGAATTGTCTTATGAACAGCATTACTCTAGACTGAAGATGTGTTGGTCTGCTAGGAACCACAGGGGTCAGGGTGTTGTACAGAGGTAACAATTAGCCAGTCCTAACTGGCGGCCTTAGGAGTTTCTGGAGGGAAGACCCTCTTAGTGGAATGGGTATCCTGGAGGCCCAGTTTGGTTGTGGGAATGGCTACGCAGAGAGAAAATACCTGTCCATGGTCCGGCAAGAGGCCATTGCTGGAAGGGTAAGTTCTTAGATCCTCTGTTTGGAACTCAGAGGGGGAAGCTTTCATGGAGAGAGAAAAAATTACAGTTAATTTCTACTTAGATGACATGGCCTATTTCTACTCCTTGTTCCTTGCTGAACAAGAAAGGCTCTCTCAATTCTACCCCCACCAGGTTTTTCTCAGTTCTGCCCCCAAAGAGGTGCATGTGAGAGTGAGGGTAGGTTGATGCCTTCAGTATACACATCCTGGAGCTGGGGTTTTCTCTCAGGCGGCCACAACTTTCTTCCTGAAGCTATATTTAGGTGTTGGTCTAGGGAAAAGGATGTGAGTTTTTCAGGATCCTGTTTATCCAGCAGACCCCACACCACCCCCACCCCGCAGCTGTCTGTCCTCTGTTTGGTCTGGAACTTCCCCTTCCTTCCCTCCTTGCTTCACTTCAGGCATCCAGGTCATAGAAAGGATGTATTGGCCCCTGAAACTCAGCATTGCCACTTATTAACTGGGTGGCATCTAACATATCCTTAACTTTCTAAGCTCCATTTTTCTCATTCGTAAAGTGGAGATAATGGCACATAACTTGCAGAAATGTAACGAGGGTTAAGAGAAAGTCATTACATAAAGGTTGGATCCCAAGATCTTCTGGGTGTCAGTGGCTAAGTCTGCTGTAGTACGGGACATAGGAAGGAGCCTGGTAGCATGTGATGTTCCTTGCTCTGGTAGACATGCCATCAGGCAAAGAGCCCCTTTCCTTTGCCTTTTTTGCTTGAATCTTCAGTCAGATTAAAGATGGCTTGACGTTTACTCTTGCTCGCAGGTCAGGTCTTTCCAGGTATACCTAAGCCTTGGTCTAAATAATTAAATCAACTGTTAAAATATTGTATAAAGCGGAGTACCTGATACATCATTAGCACTCAGTGAGGGGTAGTTGATCATATCTGGACTGGAGATGCAGGAAAAGACTGCTGGAATAATCTTTTTTCCCTGTGTGTTTCTGTTTACAGCAGCAAGGTGGGGGTCCAAAGGTCCTGTGCTAAGCACCCATAATCCTCTGGGGGGTGCCATCCAAAAAAGAAAAAAAAACCCACCATGTTTAACTTAATGAAAAAAGATAAAGACAAAGATGGCGGGCGGAAGGAGAAGAAGGAGAAAAAGGAGAAGAAAGAGCGGATGTCAGCAGCAGAGCTGCGGAGCCTGGAGGAGATGAGTCTCCGCCGTGGTTTCTTCAACCTGAACCGCTCCTCCAAGCGTGAATCCAAGACACGCCTGGAAATCTCCAACCCCATCCCCATCAAGGTGGCCAGTGGGTCTGACCTGCACCTGACTGACATTGACTCTGACAGCAACCGGGGCAGCATCATCCTAGACTCGGGCCACTTAAGCACAGCCAGCTCCAGCGATGACCTCAAGGGTGAGGAAGGCAGCTTCAGGGGCTCCGTGCTGCAGCGGGCAGCCAAGTTTGGCTCACTGGCCAAGCAGAACTCACAGATGATTGTCAAGCGCTTCTCTTTCTCCCAGCGAAGTCGGGATGAGAGCGCCTCAGAAACCTCAACCCCCTCAGAGCACTCTGCAGCCCCATCACCACAGGTGGAGATAAGGACACTAGAGGGACAACTGTTGCAGCATTCTGGCCCAGGCATCCCTCGAGCAGGACACCGTTCTCGAGTCCCTGAGCTGGTGACTAAAAGGTTCCCAGCTGACCTGAGACTTCCCCCAGTGGTGCCTCCACCACCCCCTGCTCCCAGGGAACTGGAACTGCAACGAAGGCCCACTGGAGACTTTGGTTTCTCCCTGAGGCGCACCACCATGCTGGATCGTGGCCCTGAGGGCCAGGCCTATCGCCGGGTGGTTCACTTTGCTGAACCTGGTGCTGGTACCAAGGACCTGGCTCTTGGGTTGGTGCCAGGAGACCGACTGGTGGAGATTAATGGGCACAATGTGGAGAACAAGTCCAGAGATGAGATTGTGGAGATGATCCGACAGTCTGGGGACAGTGTGCGGCTTAAGGTTCAGTCCATCCCAGAGCTCAGCGAGTTGAGCCGGAGCTGGTTGCGGAGTGGCGACGGACACCGCAGGGAGCCAGCCGATGTGAGTTCTTCCCTGAGTACCAGGGGTGAGCAGGGATCTGGGATGTGGGCATTTCATGCAGTTGTACTTAGGCGGATGACTGAGAGTGCCCAAGAGCTGTGGTCAGACCCTAGACAGCATAGAAATTGGAGGATTGTATCATTCCCTGGGCCTGTAGGGAGAAGTAACATCAGGAGAGGGTGTCCCATGCCAGATGCTTACTATAGGATTCATACTTTGTCTTCGCCAAGTAGCTAAGTACAACTCCTCAAAGGTTCATTGTGATGGAGTTTCAATAGTTTCTCCAGGCCTCACGGTTTGATGTTTTCCTCTAGCGTTCTGTTGGATTGACTTGATTGAATTCAGCATAATTCCTTTCTCAAGGGCGTCAGACTAGAACAGGTTCTGCCTAAACTTTAGCTGTATCCCTGGAGCCCTCAGGAGAGGTTTTTATTGGTTGGTAAAAGATATGAAGACGGGTTACAGTTTTGGTCACCTTATGTCCTGAGCCCTAAATTGGGACATGTAGGCTAACATGTGCTACTTTCAGATAGGAGGGACAATATGGACACTAAAAGATAGGAATTCCATGTTTATTTAGATTTTGGAGATAACAGAAAAATGACAAATGATTTCAAATTAGGGCTGAACATTTGGGGTGAAGAGCTGTGTGTACAGGAAGTCAGCTGGGAACCTTTTAGTCACCAGCTCTGGGGAAGATGACCTTCTCCAGGGCCTCTTGGTGCTCCTGAGTAGGCAAGGCATTAAATACCAAGTGAGATCTCAGAGTAGCAGGACAAGATCATGGAGTCCCTTGTAAACCATGGTTGGAGTTAGATTTTATCCCACTGAAGTGGGACCATCGAAGAATTTGAAATAGAGGAGTGATTGGGTATGATTTATAAAGGCTGCAAGAATTTTTATTACTCTCCTGGAAGAATAAAAAGGATGACTCTGGGAAATCAACAGAAATCAAACCTCCAGAGATAATGTATCCTGACTATCCCTGAGATCCCTAACTGTGATCCTGCCCACGCAAAACTACAGAGGAAGGCATGAGAGCAGAGATTTAGATCAGATGAATGGGCAGGTCTTGATGGGGAACTAAGACCTCTAACCCCAGTGGTCTTTTGATGGGCCTGGGGGAGGGGTGACATAGTTTGGAATATCCTGCCTGGAAATAGCATATTCTTCTCTCCCTGTTGTGGGTTTTAGGACTGTCCAGATCTGGGTCTTGCAGCCTGACCAGTGCACAGCTGGCTGGGACCTTTCAGCACTAAGTGGCCAGCCAGATGTGTCAAAGTCAAAAAGAAGAGGAAGTGCTAAGGAAGCAGGCAGAGTCCAGCTCCAAGCTTTCTCCCAGGGAGAGGAAATGGACATTCAGAATGGCTATTCAACCTGACAGTATATTGGGCCCAGAGTGGCAGAGTCATACTCTGGCAGGACACACTGAACTTGGGTTCTAGGTCTTCCTTTACCCTGGGGCTAGTTGGGTTTGGGTAGCTTTGTGGTCAGGGTGAGTAGTGAGTGAGAAGGAGCTTGTGTAGAATCCAGAGGAAGGCCTGACTCATTCATTCTGAAAGCATACATTGACCACATGCTGCATGTTAGCTGGCAAGTTAGACTGAACTCAGGGAACTAAGACTTCGAGGAGGAAGATAAGGGCCTTCCCTTGTCTTCCCCCTCAAAGTCTTAGTTCCCTGAGTTCTTTATTTTTAAAATCAAAGGTTGTAATGCATTGCTATGTCTGTCTACTTTCTCCCAGGCCAAGATTGCTTTTAACAGATGGAATTTTCTTCTTAAAGCATAAATCCCCCTGGGTGTTGTCTCTAGCTCCCTGCTGAACCACAGCAAGGCCTCTGTGGGGCTCCAGGCTTGACATCCCAGATGCCATTTAGTTCTCTCTCTGTAGCCCAGGGATCATCCTGGCATCTCACATTTCCTAGCCACTTTTCCTTTCCCACTAGCTGCTGCTATCCCATCCCTGGGGAGGTGGATGGTTTAGCTTTGGAGGCGCGGGTGGAATCCATGTTACAGCTGGTATCCCTGAAACACTGGCTTGCTCTCGCCCCAAGGGGCAAGCCCAGCTGTTACCCAGGGGACTTCTTCCCTAGGCCTCAGCTTGGCAGATCTGGCAGCAGACACAGTAGAAAACTCCATCCCATGTGTCTTCCTGGAGCTATCTAGCAGTACAAGACACACAGGACTGAAAAAAGCCCTTTCCCCACCTGGGTGTTGGTGAGGACTTGAGCCACAAGCAGACAGAAGCAGAGCCTCAGCATTTCTAGCTTTCTGTGACAGACTTCATGAGCTGGAACGGAATAGGGGTAGGGATGGCAGCTCTCCTATGGCCCTCAGCCTCTATCTCTTTCTCTTCCTCCCACTCTGATTCCTGCTACTTTTCTTGGCATCAGTTCTATTCTCAGTTCTGCACCAAGAAAATAATTTTCTCAGGGCTGGGGCTGTAGCTCAGTGGTAGAATGCTTGCCTAGCATGTGTGAGGCGCTGGGTTTGATCCTCAGCACCACATAAAAATAAATAAATTAAATAAATAGAAGTGTTGTGTCCATCTAAAATCTAAAAAAATAAAAACTAAAAAAAAAAAAAAAAAAAAAGAAGAAGAAAAGAAAAAAAAAGAAAGAAAAGAGCCTTCTCACTTCCAGGCTCCTGGTCAGGGTACCCTGATGATGGGAGCCTCACAGGGATAACTACTGGTGGCCACCCTGCCCATCAGGCAGTTCATCAACTGTGTCCACATGTTGTCTATCCCCAGAGAGCTCTGAGGGAGCTGACCAACTATCTGTTCTCTCTGACACATAGAGGGTGGCCAGGGCCCCATGGCTCCTCTCTGTAGCCTGTTCCAAAGGCCCCAGGGAGACACACCCCTTCAGGTTTCCCTCTCACCCTGGAGTGTGTAGAATGCTTGGTTCACACTTTCTTCATGTGTTCCTGTAGCCACTTGATGAGGTTCCATGGGGAGTAGGGGTAAGCCACAGTGATAGGATAGATTTAGGGCCTGACAAATTCTGAGAGAAGCAGTTCTTTCTTCTGCCATCTCTCTTTCCATCTACCTACCCACAGGAGGCTTCACGTACAGTGTTGGGAATGGTCAGCAAAAGCTGCCATCTGCATAGGAGTTGAGTGATAGGAGTCAGGAGGAAGTGGAAGACTGTGATAGACCCATGCCAAGGCCTCAAAGTTGGAGAAAGAAGGACATGTTTGGGGAGCCAGGCATATTTTGGGAAGGACAGTGAATGCTGACAGAAGCATCAGGAAAGAGAAGCAGAGGCTACCTAGGTCCCTGTGAGTTTTGCTGAGGAGTGTGAACTTTAACCTAGGGGCCTCAAAGCCATTCCAATCAGTAGGGAGTGACAGGAAAAGAGTTTAGAAAATCTCTCTGCCAGCTTCTGGAGAATGCTTGAGGACATAGCAGGGGTCACCATGGGGAGGGCTAGTTGGGAGGCCTTTGAAGTAATCCTTGGAGAGCAGATGGAGGCCTCGACATGGGAAGAAGTGGCAGGAATGAACAGAAGTATTTGACTCTGTGAACCAAGGCAGGCACTTAGTCTTGGTGACTGACTGAGGGACAAGGGGTCAAGTCCACTGCTAGCTTGGTGCAGACATGTTCCTTCTTTCCTTAATTCCTCAGAGAAAGTTTTTGTGGGGGCATCTATGTTTGCTAATTGCCAAGTGTTCCCTGAGTCTGGTGAGGTCAGGGGAGGTGTTGGTAAAGATAAGGATCATAAAACCTAATCAGATCAAAAGTACTTCCTCCAGTTAGTTCCATGAGTCTGGATGGGAAAGTTAAGTCCCACAGTCTGGGCTGGGGACTAGGGACTGGGAGAGAAGGAGGCTGGCCCCTTTGGTTTGTAAAGTGGGCCTTTACAAAGTCCTATGCTTATCCTCAGTGGGCCCATCCTAGGGGACAAGCAAATTGTCAGGGAGTGTAGGATTTTTTTTTCTGGAAATATTAGAAAAGACTATCCACCTAAACTCTGGTCCATGTGGTTGTCCCTTCCATAAAGAACCAGAGGAGCCAGCCTGCATGGGCATCCTCCCCAGAAAGCAGTGTCTTCTTGTTTTTGAGAATAGGAGGAATCAGGGGGTTTTAGACCACGGCTTCCTCCCAGTCAAGCCAAGTTTCTGAAATCTGTGATGTGATTGCTTCTTCTCATGGAGCATGGGGTTTGTAGTCAAGGACTCAGGTTCTTTAAAGCTCCTTGTCCACCTAAACCACCTCTACCCTTAGGGGAGAGGTTGGGAGTAAGCAGACTTCAGTGGAAAGAACATGGGCTTTGGGGCCCAGAAGACCTGGTTTGTGTTTTACCCAAGTTAACTTTTCTGAGCCTCCACATACTCATTTCCTCAATAAACAGTTAATGAAGTCTGCTTATGGACCAGGCACTGTGCTGGGCACTGGGGGATTAAATGAACAAAATGTGATCTTTCCTTGAGGAAGCACAGGACTAAGTAAGACCTGCAACCAGGCACATAGATGCTATTAGAGAAATCTGTGCAAGTGCACAGTGGGGCAGGAAGGAGGAAGTAGCAGTACTACCCTAGGGGAAAGGGTGGCAATTAGGGGAGGCCTCCTAGAGGAGGTGACCCGTGATCCTTATAAAATGGACATTTTTTTTTCCTCCCAGAGTTTGAGAAGGTTAAATTGGAGAAGGATGCACACTCATGTCCTATTTCTGAGGATAGAATTGAGGCTAACAGGAAAGACTTCGGTGTATCATATTTTGTGTGCTTTACTTAAGATAAGTATGTTTATGTTGTAGGTGAGATCACTATGTGAGACTTTGGCAGGTGGAATCTTAGAAAGAGCAGGACTCTTTCCCCTGCCCAGCCATCCAAGGAAGTTAATTTTGGGCTTCCTGATACTCTCCTGTCATTGTCCAAAGAGGACCTGTTGTTTTTGTCTTAACTTTCTCTTTTAGCTCTATCCTTTAAGATAGTCAACTGAAGGAAGAGAGGGAATGCTGGGTGTTCCCTTTCCTTTTCTAGCTTTCTGGAGCCCA